CCGATGGCAATGTTGTTAAAGATGCTTGCACAAGTGAACGCAGCCAAAAACAAATTAAGAAGGATACAGGATAAGAAAAAATGAGGTCGCAAGAAAGAAAAGAGAAGGGCCGAAAAAGTAAAAAGGTTGAGGAAAAACGATGAAAAGACCTAAAAAGAAAAAGGATAAAATGTCTGAAGACTAAAAAAGAAAATCCTGAAAGAAAAGAGAAAGTGTTACAAAAGAATTGGAAGGTGCAAAGAAAAGGACAGCAAGGTTGAAAGGATAATGGACGAAGGGTCTCAGGAAGGTCTAAAGCAATCAAGGTCTAAAGAAACAAAGGTCTGAAGAAACGAAGGCAAAGAAAGTCTACGGACAAAAGAATAAACATCTAAAGAAAGATACAAGAAAGGGCTAAAGGCAAAGGAAAGAAAGAAGAAGTCTCAGGGAGAAAGCAGCGAGGTCTAAAGAAGCAAGAAGAACTCAAGACAAACAATGCAGAAGCAAAGAATTAAAAGTGAACGAAAGCAGCAATACAATAGCTACTAGTAACAAGTGCATCGCTACTAGTACCAAGAAGCTACTACTGGCTACTAGTAGCGATGCCCTTGCTACTAGTAGCAGATGTGAAAGAAGGCTCAGCTTTCTAGATTGGAGCGGTTCATGATCTTTGTCATTTCCGAGACCATATCTGACGCCCTCCTCCGATGCACGAGTGAAGGTGTCCACACCTTAAGTCACAAAAAGCATAAGTGTCCTTTTGCGCAGTAAGCAGGAGGCCATCGTATTCAGTAGCAAAGAACGCATTCTTTGTTCGTAGCACAGGCAAAGGTGTCTCTGATCCAGCTAGGGAGAGCGTAGTGTTCTCTCACTTAACTACCTGGTTACTACGAATGCTTTTTCAATGTGTTTGGAAACGCCAGAAAAAGAACAAATAAAGAAATGAAGAAAAAGAAAAGACAGACAGGTCTAAAGGTCCCAAGAAAAGAAAAACACAAAACGTGTATCCTCTTCTAGTAGTAACAAGAAGCTACTAGTAACAAGTGCATCGCTTCTAGTAACAAGTGCCTTACTAGTAGTAACAATGTTCGCTACTAGTAGCTTCCTTTCCTCTTTTCCTCTTCACAGCAGAAACGAACAGCACAGCGCACTCGCACGAGTGCTCGGCCGTGTGAGGCGATGAGCTCCATCAACTGTGCAGCATCCACCAAGACACCCTCGAGAGGGCCCTCGGAGAAAATGGAAAAACTGACGGCGAAAAGCGTTCGTTTTAACCTTACCTGCAACTGGATGCACAAAAACATCAAGCGAAATGAAACGAATCAATACAAGTGCCGCCACAGTATTGGGCATTTGGCTTGGAATAAACAGGATCAACTGATTGTATGAACCCAAAACTCAAATCCTGATGTCCCAAAGGGAAAGCTGGAAGAAACACTTCATGTAGAATCATGCTGCTTTCCACCTGAGGCAGCTCGAGCAAGCATGTGCCAAGCACCAGGGCTGCAAGGCCTCGTACCTGAAATGAAAGCAAAAGCATCCAACCTAGTAGCGATGGCCTCCACCCTAATAGCGATGAGCCAAACATGTTTCAAAGTTGAGCTGTTTTCCCTACTCAAATTCCATGCAAGTTTCGCAACAAGTTTCACAAGACCACCAAATTGTGCTTGCGGCGCATGAGCTGTTGCTTGAAGTTCCCTTTGTATCTCCAGCAATGCTAAAAGTTCAGGTAGCTGAGCAGGTGAGCAAGAAACTACCTATCACACAAGCAAGACAAGTTCGGTCCATTTCCAGCGGGTCTGAATTTAGTGCTTTCTGATGTGCTTTCTGAAAACAAGTGTAAAAGAGCAACTCAAGGCGTCAAAGCACCAAACCGCGTGAGTTGGAAGAATCCGAATCAATCTGAAAATGTTGAGGGCAATCAATCCGAATCAAATGAAGCTTTGATGAAGCTTTGAGTTATACACATGGGAGGTGCACATGGATGGGTGCATATGGAAGCATTTCCCGGACAGGTCGAACTGCGGTGCAGGGGTTGCGGCGGTTTATTAAAAATGCATCAGGGGTGGGTCAGATTGTCACATGTCCACAGAAAAGTATGTATAGAAAAGAGGAGCTTTGTACAAACAGGTACAGACAAGTGGACTTCTTGTATAGAGAAGGTCGAGACAAGCGAAGAGTGCAGAAAAGTAGAAGTGTTCCTAGTAGCTTCTTGTTCCTGGTAGTACGGCCAGGAGCCCCTAGTAGCGTCCTTGCTCCTAGTAGCGATGCCAGGAGCCCCTAGTAGCTTTTTGAAGCGTCCAGGAAAAAAAAAAGCAAAGCCCATGAGGGCAGAGAATCCAGCAAAGTCAAAACAATATTCTAAGAAAAGTGCAGCAAGGTAGAGAGAGAGAGAGGGAGGCGAGAGAAGAAAAGAATCGATTTGCAGGGAAAGGGAAAGCACTACAGGAAAGTAGAGCCTCTCTGGCCACTAGTACAAAAGAAAGTACATAAAAAAGAATTGGAAAAGCGGTCTTTTAGGAAAAGTAAAGAAGAAACAGATTCTCACAGAAAAAGTACATGAGGACTTTGAAACGTAGGACATCAAATTTAGACAGTCCAGAAAATAGCAAATCCTAGACCAAAGAGAAGGTGCTGCAAATCACCACCACATAAGCACACAACCACACACCCACACACCATGTCACCACATGCTCTTTTGCTCTTCAGATAAAGACAACATCCCGACCTCACGATTCCACACTCCGGGATGGAGGCTATCACTCTTAGGATGGAGGCCATCACTACTAGGGTGGAGGCCATTGCTATTAGGTTTGTTGCTCTTAGGATTGAATCCTTTTCATTTTGGGAACTCATGGCCGCGGATGATCGAATCCACTTCTTCGCCACCAAGTGGGACGGCCTGTTTGTCCAAATAGCTTTAAACTTGTGCTTAGACAGTCCTCTGTTTGAAGGAACATCTTTGAACAGCAAAGTGCGCCAAAAAGAATCTACAAACCAAATCATTAAGGCTCGGGCGTATTTGAGTTTAGTAGCTTACCCTTGCCGCACGGCCTAGCCTCCCCTCCCCGTTTTTTCAAATGTGCCTGTTTAATGTAAAAAAAAGGCAGATGGGGTCATCGGAAGTATTTGCTTGTCGGCTTTTTGCAGCTGAAGCCTCAGGTCTTGGATGTCGAGGGAAATCCTTTCTCGTATAACACAGCTGCTGTTATGTGCTCACATGGCGCTGCTAGCTGCTAGCTATTAAGTTACTAGCTTAACAACTAGCTTAAGAAGCTACTCAGAGGCTACTCACTACTAGCTAGTAGCGTCTATGTGTGTGTGTCAACCCCTGTACCTAAGGGTTCCGATGCTTCCAAGCAGGGGGCTCACGGGTCTGTTCCTGGCGTGAGCCAAAAAAGCTCCAGGTTCAGACTAGGATATCGAAAGAGGACGCTCTTTCGACGTACCTGCGCTCAACTTTTGACCAAGCCGTTCCAATCTCCTTTGTTTGATTCCACGGTGGTTCATGCTACTTTCCACAAACCATGTCCCTCCGCCGCTTTCAGCTGCCGCGCGTTCGTGAACTGCAGACAAGTGAACAATTTGTTAAACATTTCAGTTGCGCTGACCTTTTCACCTTGCGTTTCCCTCACCTTCCTTCTCACCGTGGGAATTGAGTTAACAGCAAACCAATGTCAGAGTGTGTCGTGTGCTGTCTTTCGCAGTACAGCTTGTTCGAGAAAGTCTCGGCCAGGCATCGCTACCACCTTGGAGTTGAAGAATGCTTTGCTTCTTTTTGCTGGTATTTTGGGACAAGTATGCCGTGTCGAACCCTGGTGCTCGGCAGGTCACGGAGCTGGCACTACATCTCATAGCAGTGTGAAGAACGCACACCTCCTCCTGTTCCTTGTCTAACGGCGATGGGCTAATAGCCATGGCCTCCGACCTAGAAAGCACACCTCCTTCTGTTCATGTTCTCTTACACCAAGGCATAACCTGGGTGTAAAAAAAAACAAGCTTTTCAAGTGGGGGTCAAACAACACCTCTCTACAAGGTGGTGTAAACCGGCTGTTGTATTCAACAATATACTCCTCCCAATGTTTTTTGCTAAGAAACAGCCACACTACATCACAATTCAACACACGCTACATCACAACGCTATACTTGACCACACACACACAAAAGAAAAGATACACATCACCACATCCCAAATCTGTTGTGTTGGGAACACAACATGTCCTGTTGGAGCACAGCTAGGTGGTGTGCTAGAAAGATGCGTTTTGCTAAAATACTAAACACGGATCCGCCTCCCCTCTCTCTCTCACATCTATTCAAACGTGAGCTACTATGGCTTTTTCGTAGTTTTCTTGCCACTCGCCTGCGCTGCTTCAGGACAGCCTTCGCACCATTCAGCCAGAAGCTGCAGCATGGCACAAAGGCCCGCTGAACTCTCAGGATTTTTGTCTCCAAGGCCCTAAGGTCAGGAGGAAAATTCACAACGAAATCTAACTCTTTGAGCACTAAGTGATAAGCAGGTGATATAAGAATTCCCCCCGTGCTTAGCGCTCCTCAGTATCAGCGCGCCATGCACGAGCAAGCGCTGCAGTGGGGCCCAGAAGTCCACCCAAAATGCCTTTCCTGGCAGAAACGTTTACTAGTAACAAGTGCCACGCTACTAGGAACAAGGACGCTACTAGGGGCTCCTGGCATCGCTAGTAGTAACAAGTGCCTTACTAGTAGTAACACGAAACTAGTAGTCCAATGAACCGCCAAGACCCTTGTTTTGTTGGACCGCTTCTACTTAATTAAGTAGGTGCCTACTTGATGGCGACTTGTTAGCTACTAGTACTAGCGACTTAAGCTACTAGACATGGACGCAGGATAGCTCACGCAATAATGATGTGGTTTCTGGATTTTGAGGGAAACTTACAGTAGCTAGCGTGTGGCTTGTCGGCAAGGGATAGTTCAGTTGACCCACAGCCTTTGGCAAGACCGGGCACTACGTGCAATTCTTACATGAGAAATAAGTGGCCTCCACCCTAATAGTCCAAAGGTATGCTTGACTTGGGTCTCGTTCCAACTAGCTGCCTGGTCAGTTGCTGCCGCAGCTCCACATCACTACGGATGCACTGGCCAAGCCTGAACTTCACTACTGACCAAAGAAACAAAAGCTAAAGCGCAGTTGGGTACTTGCGCCCACATGAGTCATGTGTGAAATCAACTCAACTGATCCATTGTTACTAGTAGCGATGCACTTGTTACTAGAAGCTACTAGTAGCGATGCACTGGTTACTACTAGCGATGCACTTGTTACTAGTATCTAGCTGTATTTATGTGTTTCCAAACAAAAATGCCTCTAATCCGTCTAGCATACTTCTAATCCATCTAATTGATGTAAGGGTGTTCGTCTTGGAAGTCGACCCGGAACTGTGCTTCCTACAACCTTGCCGCAAACCAGGTGTTCGCATCCAAAGATCCACATGCCTGAGATAGGGTGCAAAGTATGGCCCATTGACAGTGTTTTACAGAAAGGAAGGAAGGAAGTTCTGAAGGTCTCAAGAAGAAAAAAATGACACAAGACAAGTAAGTAAGTGTTTGTTGAGGTCATGTTTATCATGCTTCCAAACTCTGCAGGTTCAATGCGCAAAGGTACATTTTGCGTAGCTCCCTGAATCCTCTGATCAGCCATGCGGAAAGCCAGGAGAAACATGCCTCGGTGATTGCAGAGATGTTCATGGCGCTTTCTAGAAGCTTGTCGATTTAAAGCGGACTAGTTGGAGGCCATCGCTACTAGGTTGGAGGTAGTATCCTTTGTGATGTTCGGTAGTTTCGTTTTGCAGTTTCCTGTGCCTGCGCCAGATGCTCCAGGACTCTCCTCCTCACGAAGTGCAAATTTGCAGGGTGCATCAAATGAAACCTTTGATTCCTTGTGATCCCTTCAAACCTTTGAACCCTGAACGAAACAACAAAGGAAGAAAGACAGGAGGGAAGAAATGTCTTCAGGCCTTGACAAGAAACAAGAAAGAGGCAAAGAGGTGTCAAGCTTCTAACTCTAGCTACTAGTAGCATCCTTGTTCCTAGTAGTAGTGCCAGGAGCTACTACTAGTAGCTTCTTATTCCTACTAGCGATGCCCTTGTTACTAGTAGCTCTTATTGAGTTCATATGGTTCCTATTCCATAAGCCAGAATCCTGATACTGCCCCAACAAAACTTCGAGTCTCAATGCAGCCCAAAAGCGAGTTGTGCAGCCTCCAGTGCCGAGACCAAGGCCTGAAATAAGGAAGCATTCAGGATTCTACCTCAAGCAGTGCCGCACAATGCATATATTATGTTATGGCATGTCTCTGCCGCACATGTCACTTCTGAACATGTCGCTGCAACTACGTGCTTCCTCCTTCACATGTTACAACACGACACTGGCAAACAAGTCGGGCATTGCTTCGTTTATGTGCACCAACACAATGTGGAAGAACATCGTTCTGTACCTTGCGAACATCTGCGCTTCGTTCAAGGCCAGCAGCCAGCAAGACCTAGCATGAGCTGAATCATTGTACTGCTGTGCAACCATGCTTCTTGAAAGGGCTAAATTGCACTCAGGTGTCATTTGTTATGTACATCATAGAAGAGTTTATGAAGAAACTTCTGGCGTACAGAAACAAGAGTGGCAAAACAACTACGGTTGAAAAAAGGACTGTGTCGGGGCAAAGGGTAGTGGTGTTGGTCCGGATGATCACAGTGGCTGCATGAGGTAGAGATCTATTGGCTTCTTGTTCCTAGTAGCGATGCCAGGAGCACCCCTAGTAGTGTCCTTGCTCCTGTTGTTCGTTTTTCCTTGGACCTTCGAACCTTTTCTGTTTTCCGTTCTTTGTTTTGTTCTTCCAAGATTGTGTGTACTTTATGTTGGCGTGGTATGCAAACGAACTCAAGCCACTGAGCTGCATGAGGTAGAGATTGAAAGAAGTATGGAAAAGGAGCGGTTTCCGAAAGGCAACAAAAAGGATTTCTGCAGGTGTTGCAAAAAGAAGGAACAGTTGTGATTTCTTGGCAAAAGTCCAGAAAGGCAGAGGGTCCTCAAGAAGGAAAAGTAGAGATCTCTGAAGAAGTCGAGGCTTTTGGACAAAAGCTTGAGAAAGGTGGAGACTTCCAGAGACGAAGCGTCGAAAAGTTGAGATTTCTAGAGAAAAGTTGATGGTAGTAACAGGTGCATCGCTAGTAGTAACAAGTGCCTTACTAGTAGTAACAAGAAGCTATTAGCTTATTGCTTCTACTAGCTTCTTGTTACTACTAGTAAGGCACTTGTTACTACTAGCGATGCACTTGTTACTACTAGAAACAAGAAAACTTCACAATCTCACACATCACCATGCTACTATCAAGTTCACCATAGTAGATTGGAGGCCATCGCTCTTAGGTTGGAGGCCATTACTACTAGTAGCAAGAAGCTAGTAGTAACAGGTGCATCGCTTCTAGTAACAAGTGCCTTACTAGTAGAAACAAGAAGCTAAGAATTAGAATTCAAGCACTTTGACACTGTGAACTGTGGATGTGTCGATTCGCGCCTCAATGGCAGCTCGCACTTCCAAAGGTGTTGACATCTAGCCAAACAATCGAAAACATACCGAGAGCCATCGATTGCCAAAGCTTGAGTTTCAGAATTTAGGTTGGAGGCCGACGCTACTAGGTTCCTTTTGCTATCTGGTTGGAGACCATTGCTAGCATGTGCTTCCTATCCGAAGTGCCTTGCCCAGAACTGTTGCCACAAAGAAGTCCAGCATGGATCCGCCCTGTATGTTGGCCTGACACCAACAGCACGAAACATAGCTCAAATCCAACACGGAGCATTTCAACAACTCATTATCAGTGTATCATTCTGAGGCCAGTACATTGAAAAAGCCTAGTGATGGTTCTGGAGCAGCCCGCACAGCGCCAGTAAGAATCTTGCGCAATGCCACCAGTACAGCTTGCAACTGAGCTCTTTTTTGCAGTTGCTATCAGCGAAAGGGCATCGCTAGTAGGAGCAAGGACGCTAGTAGGGGCTCCTGGCCTTACTACTAGGAGCAAGGATGCTACTAGGAACAAGTGCATCGCTTCTAGTAACAAGTGCCTTACTAGTAGTAACAAGAAGCTACTAGGGGCTCCTGGCATCGCTACTAGTCGCATTCTTACTAGGAGCGATCGGACGCAGTGAAACATCGACTGCACCTGAACGGCTTGCAACCGCAAAGGATCAAAGTGATATTGTAACACCTCGCACGGTCCAACCCGAGTTAACCCGAGTCAACAGGTTCTCTTTCTTTGGCCCTCACTTAAAGAAATTAGATGCCTACTTCGTTAAGGGAGTAGGCTACTAGCTACTTAAGCTACTACATATGGACGCAGGATAGCTCGTGCAAAAACTTCGACGGCAAATGAGTCAACACATGTACTTTGATTTGACGCTTGTCGACTCATGTACACAAGAGATAGTCCACACAAGCCTCGCAAACCAACTCCACAAATCCAGTAGATTGGACCTGAAGATTCAAATCGCATGCAGTTGGTCTAAGGAGTCACCTTTTCAAGTTAGTAACAAGAGCACGCTACTAGTAACAAAGGGCATCGCTACAAGGAGCAAGGACGCTACTAGGGGCGCTTCTGGCCTTACTAGGAACAAGAAGCTACTAGTAGCAAGAAGCTACTTGCTGAATCTGGGAATCACACTAGGGCTTTGGAGTTCTGTTCTGCCTGAGCAATCACTCTTTCGCGGACGAGCCAAGAGGATGCAAAGAAGTTTTCCAAGCACGTTCAGCCTCAATCCCAGCAGTCGAAACGAAAGAGCCCACAGCCTCCTTGGGAATCGAAACACATCGAAATGCCGCTTTAAATTTCGGCAGCAAACGCCGTTCAACAAGCTAGTAGTAACAAGTGCATCGCTACTAGTAACAAGTGCCTTACTACTAGGAACAAGAAGCTACTAGGAACAAGAAGCAGCAGTCCAGCAACACAGTCGCCACATTTCGCACGCCCAAAGCCCAACTTGCACCGCCTGCCTGAACAGCTGACAAACAAACAGTTGGGATTTAATTCTAATCTATTTTAGTTATTCCTACTAGCTTCTTGTTACTACTAGTAAGGCACTTGTTACTAGTAGCGATGCACTTGTTCCTAGTAGCTGACAAACAAAGAGTTGCCGCATGTCTTCGTCCTTTCCTTCCTTTCCATTGTTTTTTTCCGTTGGGTGTGAGACGGGTAGTAGCAAAGTAGCTGAGTTAGTCTACACTACATGCAAGGGTGGAGTACAACTCAGCTTCTTAGACTCTCCAGCCATCGCTAGTAGGGTGGAGGCCATCGCTAGTAGGATGGAGTACAGCTCAGCTTCTTAGACTCTTCAATGTTCGCACTGAAGCGAGCCTCTGTGAGGCCTGCCGCCATCACGACAGCGCGAAGACTGCGGATCAAGGCAAGCAAATGCCCTGCCTGCACATGTTAGATCTGGAGGCTGAAAAGGACTATGCCAGCATAGACGCTCCACATCAAAGTAATTGAAACATGTTCCAGCTGTGGACAAACTCATCAAACAATTGCCCCATATCAATCACCTACCTACTGTTGGTGCAAGAAATCCTGCATCACCTAGAACCCCAAAGGCACCTTAAGTTGTATCAAATTACCGCAAATGGTGCAGCATTTCTTCAGTAGATTATAGGTACCCACCAGGAGGCACTGGAGAAAAGGTAGACCTTACCAAAAGATAGAATGCTTCAACCTAATAGCAACGGCCTCCAATCTCCTACAACGATGCCTCCAACCCCTAGCAATGGCCTCCAAGCTTAATTTTTCCCTAAATGTCTAGGAACCAAATCATTAGTGCGAGCGCTTCTTCCAGGAAGCTTCTCCCGCCGCCTTTAGGGCGGCGGGGGGCACTTGCGTGAAGAAGCGCGAGCTATCCTGCGTCCTAAGTAGTAGCTACTTAAGCTACTAGCTACCTACCTCACCTGTAGCGGCCTACCCCCTCGGGGATTCGCTCGTGGGCAAGATGGTTGCGCGGGTGTCATGTGCGGCGATGGCAGGGTGGGCCAGCAGGCGAGTGCTGCATGAAGCACTGGTCGCGCCAGCAGCATTTTGGCAATGGGTTTCTCTGCGAGGTTGGCACTAGGTTCTTGTGGATTCACACTTCCATTGATAAAGGCATTTCCAGAGAATAAAAAATGAATGGATGTCCAGAGACAATAGTATAGAAAAGTAGTTACGGCCAAAGAATGAAGGGAATAGACAAGGTGTTCAGACAAAGTTGCCGAAGAGTACAGTACATGTTCTAGGCTTGAAATATCAAAGGCATTTCTGGAGGAATGCAAACAGCATCCATCAGGAATTTCATCAGCAACATCACGTCAAAAATTGAATTCACATCATCGCATTGTTCCTGACACTCCATAAATCGCCTCAACTCACATCACCCCCCTAGAGGTGCTTTCTTTCTTTTTTGCCTCATGCGGGATCGACCTGTAGCAAACTGCGGGAATTTGATCAATAGGCATATTTTTGACGCTACTAACAAGAAGCTAGTAGTAACAAGTGCATCGCTACTAGTAACAAGTGCCTTACTAGTAGTAACAAGGACGCTAGTAGTAACATGCAATAGCCGAGAGGCGGTCATTTTTGTGATTGCCCTGAGATACAGCCAAGAAGAGACCGAGAAACGCTGATCAGAACTCGCGTTTTGGAGGAACCTCTGTAACCTTCGAGCTATTGGTGGAAGGCAGAATGAGATTCCCCTACAACCTTCCGTCTTCCACAAACAGTTTCACATAGTTTCACAAGGGGGCTCCTGGCCTTACTACTAGGAGCAAGGACGCTCTAGGGGCTCCTGGCATCGCTACTAGGAACAAGGACGCCACTGGGAGCAAAGGGCATTTCTACTAGGAACAAGAAGCTACTAGAGAGAAGGATGTCACATGTCACCTTAAGACAAGGAAATTGAAAGCTCTGCATCATGCTGAATCACCTTCACGTTGTTGAATACCCTCGAGCCCAGGATACCGCTGCTTTTCAACTAGATCACGCTTCACCAAGGAAATGCACCCTGCCCGTTTTTTCCTGTCCTTTTTGGATTCTGGTCTTTTCTTGTCTGTTCGTTTGTTTCTTTTTCCTTTAGCCCGTTCTTTCTTCCTGTCTTTCTGTTCTTTTCTGTCTTTCTTTAGGAATTTAGATCTTGTCTTTCTGTCGTTCTTTCATTATTTTTTCTTTCTGTGTTTTTCGATTGCTTCTTACAGTATTTGCATTGCACTATGTTCGCCAAATGCTATGCAAGAAGAAACCGTAGCTGGTGTCACATCTGGCCTCCCGCATGTACTTTTGTGCGACTGGGCCTTGTCCAACAAGCTGTAGAACACACACCTGCATGCATTGCATGGTGAGCAAACAATTCGTGTGTTTCCCCAACTGATCATGTTTCCTCAAGTGATTTCAGCCCCGTTCTGTATCGCTCCATGTCTTCTGCTTGAGCAAACACATCATGGTGCTTAGGTCGAGATTGTGAAGAGATCTTGTGTGTCCTACCATGATCCAACCACAATATTCTTCTGTACCTTGGGCTTCCTACCATGATCGACTTCTGATCTACTAACTACCTACCCCGTCTATATATCTGTTCATGGCCTAGCCCTCCGAAATGAAAGTTCATACACTCTTCTCACATCGTTTGACAAGATGTTGCTTCAGTTGTTCCCCATGTCTGTTTGCCATCTTGATACCTCTGGGGCGCGCGCACAAGCATCAGTAGCCAAGCTCAGAAAAGTGACCTTAGCGGACAAGCTGAGAAACGCTTGAGAAAAGCGGGAAGAGCAAAACAAAAAATGAAAAGCCAGAAGCATAGCGTTGGTTCGTGTTTGTTGTTTCTACTTCCGAGAGCCCAGCCGATGCCGGACCTTTGGATTCCCAAATCATTGGCAGCAACACCACACGAAACCAGTCCCACTTGTCTTGTTTTCTTGACTGCACAGGGGGTAGAGAGTACACAGGATCGGATAGTACCAGTAGCAGCTAATGTTGCTAAGATAAGTGAAAGCTTAGTACTTACGCATGGTCACAAAGAAAGCTCAGGAAAGCTTCTCGCACTGGGGGTGGCAGATTTACGTCTAGAAACTCGTTGTAAAAAAGGCCAATGTTTGTTCGATGGGGTAGGAGCAAGAAGCTACTAGGGGCTCCTGGCCATACTACCAGTAACAAGAAGCTATTAGCTTATTGTTTCTACTAGCTAGTAGGGCACTTGTTACTACTAGCGATGCACTTGTTACTACTAGGGGCGGTTCTTGTCACTTTCAAGATGGACCGTCGGAGTCCCGAACCAGCCGAACTTCCAGCGCTGAGCGCATGAGCAGCGATCGCCAGCAACGCCTGAAGGGTATGCACAAAGCATTGATCGATAGAATCGATACATGGCTTTCTGCCAAAAAGCATTATGCACTCCACAAGGAAACAAGATGAAACAAACATTCTAGCATACTGCAAAGAGCACTGGACTCCACTACACCCTGTGTGTTGCCATGTGACTCCGACTCCACTACTACTTCCCCACCGGATACGAGCACTTTCAAGGACAGAGACTGTGTCGGTCGTGCAACTGCAATGGCATAAAGACGAATGGTGACCCGTGTCTGACTCTGAAAGTCTTGGCACAGACGTAATGAGTGCACCAAAATGAGTGTAATGAGTATGATTGTAATTCAATATAAGAAGGATTGAAGCTTCACTTACAGTACTGGCCAGACGCATCAGCAGGCAGAAGTGCAAGTAACATTGCCTCATTGACTAAACTGCGAAAGCCTAGGTTTCAACGTTCAAGGGCGGGTGATAAATCGCATCGCACCAACATGTGAAGAATGCAAGTGAGGACAGCAGGAAACATAAAGACAGCAATGGCCACGCTTAGCGGCTCAGCAAATGAACAAACAGAAAAGTCATGAAAAAGAAATGAAAAAGAAGCTACTAGGAGCAAAGAAGCTACTAGGAACAAGTGCATCGCTTCTAGTAACAAGTGCCTTACTAGTAGTAACAAGGACGCTAGTAGTAACAGCAAGACAGGCCCCCCAAGGCAAGCTGACAAAGGCGGCGCATTGAGTCAGGACAGGCTAAGGAGCCTGTAGTAGCTTCGTGTTACTCCTAGCGTCCTTGTTACTACTAGTAAGGCACTTGTTACTAGAAGCGATGCACTTGTTCCTAGTAGCTTCTTTGCTCCTACTAGTAATGCCACGAGCTACTAGTAGCGAACATTGCTCCTAGTAGCGATGCCCTTTGCTCCTAGAAGCAATGGCCTCCAACCTAGTGCTGAATTTGTTGATGAGATGCAAGTTGACTAGCACAACCAAGGATGGGCTGAAGAGGACGACTGACTGGACGGGTGAGTGGACAAACTATCGGACTGGATTAGAAGCTACTGTGAACACTGGCTGACTGAATGGTCTAAGCAAACTGTTTGGCAAGTACAAGTAGCAAGCTTAGAATAGTATCTTGAAGCTACTAGAAGCAAAACGAGAATCTGGCAAAAGAAAGAAAGGAAAGGTCTAGTGGATTAAAAAAATGAAAGAACATACTGAACAATAAAATATCTATATATATAATTCTCATAAAAATAAACGGAAAACAAGACTGTAAATGCATTGTTGTTTGGACGCAGAGAGGCTCTTGAGAGAAAAACATCTTGAAGGGTGGTTCTTTTCTTGGGCGGTTCTTGTTCGAAGCGGTCTGGATATGTGTCAAAAATAATAAAAGAGAATATATGTGTTTTACTCAAAAGAATCCGGTTCCTGTTCTTGTTCGAAACAGTCTGGATATGCTTCAAAAGAATGGGAGAATGTATGCTTTTTAATGAATGTGTCTTTTTACTAAACAATCAAAGTTATTCAGAACTTAGGGTTTCGACATGTTTTGACCTGAAAGAAGAAGGGTATGGGTTCTTGTATGTTCTTGTGGATAGGCTACCTGAAAGGATTCGTTGCATCAAACAGGATTGCAAAAGAAAATGGCACAGGGAAGAGATTGGGTCAGACCATGCAGTTTGTTTCATGTTGAGCATTGAAAGTTGCAGCCTTCCTACCAGCAGTTTACTGTGACACTGCTCCGTCTCTTCGTTCGTCGCACCTCAACACCATCTTGGAAAGTAACGATCATGCGCACGTCACTGTCCTTCGCTGTCACCAGACGCAGAAACTGTACCTGGGCACACAAGAACCGATTACCCAAAAAGACATAAAGGAAAATGGATTGTGTCTGTTCTTTTTTTAGTGCTAGGAACAAGAAGCTACTAGGGGCTCCTGGCCCTACTACTAGGAGCAAGGACGCTACTAGGGGCTCCTGGCATCGCTACTAGTAGCATTCTTACTACTAGTAACAAGAAGCTACTGTTCGGGGTAATCAGCCGAGCAAGACTTCCGAGCAGATCGGAGTAGGTCCCCGAGCAGATCGGAGCAAAATCCGGAGCAGAAAGCGATGGTTGGGTAAGGTCCCTCACATGGTTTCACCTCCCGTCTGAGGTAGGCACGCATTCAGCACACAACGCCACCTCTTCAACTTCGGTCGTATTGTTCTTGGCATCCTTGCAATCGCTTCTAGTTTGGAGGCCATCGCTATTAGGTTTGTTGCAAAATGATGGACGGATTGGCTGGCGAAGTGACCAAAGCTTCGACGGCCCAGGCCTGTAGAATCTGCATCAGCGCTGAAATTGATTCGGGGTCACTCAGCAAATGACGCCCCAGGACCTGCACGTGCAGACACTCAAAACAAGTGCATCGCTACTAGGAGCGATCAGACGCTACTAGGGGCTCCTGGCCTTACTACTAGGAGCAAGAAGCTACTAGTAACAAGGGCATCGCTACTAGTAACAAGTGCATCACTATTGGTAACTTCTTTTTTAGCCCGCTGCCCCCACGCAACAAGGTGAAGAAAGGGAGGTAAAAGGCCCCCTTAAATAAGGAGCGGTGAAAGGACCCCTTGTTGAAGGGGCATTAGCTTCCTTTGTTCATTCATCTCTTTGATTGTTTAAAACCTTTGGTTACAAATCATATTCAGTCTAAGTGCACCACCGAGCTGGTCTCAGGATACACGCGCCGCAACAAAGCTAAACCTTTCAGCTCTCCAAGAAAGTCGGAGTTCTTTGTTTGGTTTCAAACCCTTCCCGAACTCGCACATGCCCTGAGCGTCTGGCCTTGCGTTCTAGAGGCTACACCTTGCGCCTGTGGCATGAGTGGAAAACACAGAACTAGGAGCAAGAAGCTACTTGTCGCTCCTGGCATCGTCATTAGGAGCCGCTGTTAGGAGCAACTACTAGTAACAACAAGTTACTAGTAAGCAAATCGTTCAGCACAAGGCAGCCACTAAAGGAGGGGACCAAGTGCAACAAACAGTTCATCATCAGCAGCGGCACGGTTGAGCATGTCAAGAAACCTACCTACGGTAAAAGCAAAAAAGGAAGAGCAAGATTCTAAAGCTCCCGAGAAAAGATAGAAATCCGCCCGCGCCAAAGGTGCTGATGGACGTTATTGTGCTGGGGCACGTTCACTCAGCTTCTATAGCTTTAGCTAGGGGGTGCCTTTTTCGTTTGGGAACGGAATTGAGGTGTGTCTGGAGGTGGTGGGAAAAAAACGTGCAAAAACTCAAGGAAAATGCCTTGCTCCTAGTAGTAAGAATGCTACTAGTAGCGATGCCAGGAGCCACTAATAGCGTCCTTGTTACTAGTAGCAGTGCCCTTGCTCCTAGTAGCTTCCTGTTCGTAGTAATAAGCCCATGAGCCACTGGCGTCCTTGCTCCTAGTAGCGATGCCCTTTGTTACTAGTGGAAGGTTTCGCAACTTTTGATTTGGAAGTGGTGTGCCATATGATCTGGGAGCGCAGTATAGAACATGAAGTCTTACGCTCTCAGTGAGAAATGACGCACAAATGTTGAAAGGAGTAGCTTGCTTGCCTTTCAGGGATGTAGTGATGCAAGCGATGGCATAGTGAGACATATACCAAGACATGGATGATACATACAAACTGCACAATAAGTATGACCGACGTAAGGCCTAAAGACGAACGGTACAAAGCACTGGATGGAAGGAAATAAGTATATAATAAATTACAACAAGATATAGCATTGTTGGATATAAGTTGGACCCGCTTAAAAATGTACGGTTTGAAGGGTGTCAAAAATCAGTCCGTTGAATCCAGTACGATACAGACACTAGTATATACCACAATGTGATGCAATGCATTGGATGAAAACAAATACATTGTTGAATATGAGTTGAACCCCCTTAAGCATGTACAATGTTTGTGAACTTGTATCATCGCATGAAAAAACACGTCTTTCGGCTCTTTCTATTCATGGGTCCCCGAATTCCACACAATTCTTCGAAAGTCCGAAACACTTCTACCGAACTAGGAACAATAAGCTACTAGGAACAAGTGCATCGCTTCTAGGAACAAGTGCCTTACTAGTAGTAACAAGGACGCTAGTAGTAACACTTCTACCGAAAGGAATGTCTCGGACCCAAAGGATTGATAGGCCATGCCCACGCTGTCTCAGACGGTGATCGTTGCGAAGCGACCTGAATTTAAACACGATTTTAATACCAATTGTTCAATAAACAATATGTGTTCTTCTTTTTGTTCTGCTTGTGTGTTCTTTCCGTTTCTGTGTTATCTACTTGCTCTTTCTTTGTTGCTCTTCTTCAAGACTGTCCAGTCCAGTCACTCACTCCCCCTGTCCAGACACACCAATGTCTTATTAGTGTCCCTCTAATAAAGGGGGTCAACTACCGCTAAAACCGCTCACCATCGCAACCAAAGAAAAGGTCGCTGTTGGGAGGGATCCATAGATGCACACTCTTGTGTTATACAGTGTTACTAGTAGCGAACATTGTTACTACTAGTAAGGCACTTGTTACTACTAGCGTGGCACTTGTTACTAGTAGCGATGCACTTGTTACTAGTAGCTTCTTCTTACTAGTAATAATGGCAGGAGCTACTAGTAGTGTCCTTGCTCCTAGTAGCGATGCCCTTCGTTCCTAGTAGCTTCTTGTTCCTAGTAGTCTTGCTTTCTCGAAGCGTTGCAAAAAGCTTCGACTTCTCTCCAAGATGATTTGGTGTCATTCAGAGCAAACATGAGAAATGCCTGCAGACGTGCTAAGACTTTGCAACAAAACTACATAACAACAACCTTGGAGAAACTTTTCCTGGTATCTGCTTGAAAGCACCTCCTTTCCCTATCTAAAGGCGACAAGCTTACCCTTTGTTCAATTATTCGTGAGTGAAAGCTTTGGGATTAATTCATTTTGTTAGTCCTGTTTTGAAGGGTAAGTGCCTGCTGAAAAGAAGCGAAAGGACAAGAATCACTTTCAAGGATATGAGAAGGAAACAAGTCGGGAAACGACAAGTAAGAAGCCAAATGTGATTCTCTTCTTTCTCCTCCCTTTAAGAAAAGGAAACTAAACGGGCAAACCAAAGCACTGAATGTGACAAGGGAAAGGAAGTCGAAAAGGACAAGAAGTCAAAGCGGATCACAAAGAAACGGCATGGCTTGGCTTGGTCACAAAGCACTTGAGGACAAATTGATGCTCGAAGAATCACAATAGCAAAACATTCAAACACGAAGCTGCATACGGTCATTAAAAGTAACAAAATAGGCACAAAAAGACCTTAGACAAGTGCCTGCTGAGATGGTTTGTTGAGGTTCTGGCCTGCAGCAGCTTCATCATGGCCTTGCCATTCTCTGTGCGACGCACAATCTGCTCGTGAAAGGCACGCAACTCCTGAAGAGAAGAAGAGAATATCGTCCCTGCCCTCCCTGAGCACAAACACCTCCCTGAGCTCAAACAGAATCCGTGCTTCTTAAATAAGATGGGACTCTACGAGTTGAATGGTTCCTCCAAAAGAATGGACACTGGCCATTGATCGCTGTCTCAGCCTGAAATACTCCTTCCTACTGTTTGTCTTCTTCTCACTCTGTCGGAATTCACTCGTGGCTCATGGCACCTCTGGAGTTGTGCCTGTAGAATCTAAGGCTTGACCCATGCCATTCAAAGTCCTGACAAGGTCATTCCTTTGCTAGTAGGAACAAGTGCCACGCTAGTAGTAACAGGTGCCTTACTAGTAACAAGAAGCTACTAATTACAATTCTAATTAAATTCTTCTTGTTCCTACTAGTAAGGCACTTGTTTCTAGTAGCGTGGCACTTGTTACTAGAAGCTTTTAATTCTAAGAGGCGACTGTTCAACGACTTTCAGATCCAAGACTGAAAAAGGATGTAAACATAGTCCTTGCCAAGGGTCCCGCCGCAAGCTTTGCAGACCTCTGTCCACAATGTTACAGCTCGTTCCTTGTTCTGCTTGTCAATTTATCTGAGGCTGGAACTCAACTCGACAAAGGGCTGCACACACAACTGGCACCACCCTATCCTCCACAACCCATCCGTGGAGGATGGTCGCGGTCTGACTCTGAGCAAGTCCCTGACAGCATTGCACTCTGTGCGCATGCAAGGAGAGATGAGATGTTCATCCTTCCATTCTCAATATTGCAAGACTCTCTGGTTTCTTACCTCCCAATTGCACAATTGGCTCTTGACATTCAGACAAGACAGGGGAATGTTCTTTCTTTGTTTCTTCCTTCCTTTAGACCAACAGAGGGGAACCCATTGAGCTTCAGAATTTGAAGTCGCCGTTTTTACATTGAGTCCCTCACTTCCAGCCGCTTGCAGGCAGCCAAGAATGCAGTCTGGGAGCCACATGCAGGTTTGGCTTGTTTGAAATTAATCCTTGTTACTAGTAGCTTCTTGCTACTAGTAGCAATGACCTCCAACCTAATAGCGATGGCCTCCACCTAGTAGCTTCTAGCTACTAGTAGCTTTGATACTAATACGATTTGATTTTGGCCTCATCAGTGCCAGCCAACTCGATCTCCTTGCTCAGTCAGGGTGCGGGTTTAGAGTCAGTTTGTTGTGTGCACCAGACCAAAAAACGACACCAGTTATTTTTCGCGCATTTAGCCTTGAACCGTGCCAGAAATGATGTGAAGATATGCATCTTGGTTTATTCTTGCGAATTTGCTGTCCTCCAGGACATCATCCAGGTCCACTCCCGCATCAATCTGCTGCACGGCTGAATCCACCTTCATCAAGCACCGGACACAAACTATTGGAACATCCGGTGACATATCTGCCTTCCGACGACCCAGTTTGTACACTGGATTGTTTTGAAAAAACTGATTCCCCCAGGGCCCCTGACTCAATCCTCTGACAGAGAGTTTACACGATGTGTTTCCGCGTTCACACAGCAACTGTGGAGAGCCAAAGCAGTTTCATTGCGCAATGTAGATATAGTGCCAAGACGAATGGCTCGTGCCATTAATCAACCAACTAAGGAGTATTATAATATAGCGCTGTGGGTTTTAGGGTGGAGAGTTTGCACTGTTATTTGCATGTAATGTTTGAGAACGCAATCATTGTTGAACCAAATATATTTAGAGTGATAGTGTCCCTGATGCCAAAACCGATGCCAAAGCCTGAAACACCCGAAGTCCCTTTTTTTGGCTCGCTCCCCCCCCGCCCTACCCAATTACATTAATTAAGTAAGTGTGAGGTAGCGAGTCGCTTAAGTAGCTATTAACTACTGGACGCAGGATAGCTCGCGCTCATGATTTGGTTTCTAGATTTTTAGGGAAATTTAACAATAGAACTGTTAGAACTTGTAATAGTAACAAGAAGCTACTAGGGGCTCCTGGCCTTACTACTAGGAGCAAGGACGCTACTAGGGGCTCCTGGCCATACTACTGGCTCAAAGCCCTTCAAGACTCTGTTCGATGTTGAGCACCCCCTGACAGCGCAAACCATGAGTCCTGGGCACAGATTTACAACAAATGGTTGGTCATCAACCCTTGCTTCTCATAGTTCCTGGATGTTGTGGCATTTCACTAGCAGAGTGAAGATCAACCCTGATTCAGTGGCTTGATTCGCTATGTTTTGTTCTTTTGTTCCATGTGCGAGGTGCGCTGAACGCGAAAACCCGAATCCTATCAAGCGTATTAAAGATACAGGGGCAGAATTATGGATCCTTAACACTGCCCTATGATAATTGGTTTCTTGCAGTCACCTGTTGATGTTCATTCAGATTGATACAAGGTGTTGAAGTAAGCTTTCAGAAGAGATCGAACCAAACAGCACAGCACGTAACATATTGACCGATGTTTGCAAGGTTTGAAAAAGATAGTCATCGGAAGCGGGGTATGCTGTTGAACAAAAATAACTGGAAATGACCAGAAATAGCCACTTGCATGCACCCGACACCAACACGCTACAAAGCACTACCACTACAAATGCCGAGACGTTCAAACTAAGAATCAGATCACATCGAAACCACTAAGCAATCACTTGAGACAGCTGCAAAGGAGCACGGTGGATTACTCAACAAGCTTAAGGATCCTCCGCAGCTTAGACAAACCTACACATAGCGCTTCGGCTTCGGGCTTCCCCACATCACACTAGCTTGGCACGAGGAAGAAGCGAACATGTTGGTCAAAAGCTGAAACAAGCCTCCTTCTCAACGTTCCCGACAACGGTCTCCACCTTGGGCTAGCTGAAAGCAAGGCATTAGCTGTATACGCTTCATTCGTACACGCAGCTTGATTGCAATTAGATTCACACATTTTCGACGACTCCTTCGAAGGTCTCGCCAATGGAGTCGATGAATGAAAACAGCGCGGACGCCATGGGAATTGCCTATCCCCCAACCGAAGGTACAAGGTACAAAAGCGCACTTGATGGAAACCCAACTCAACATGGAACTCTCACTTTGACTCCTTTTATCTGAAGGAAGGCTTTGGCTCTTTGAGCGGCTCCTGTACTTGCAAGCTGGCTGAGACTTGCTGACTGGCCCACTTCACACGCAAAGAACCGGCCCGGCGCATTTGGCCTAGCCACCCTCTACATCGCCACAAACCATGCACATGGCTGACTTCAGATTCGCATTGTGTGATCTACATATCTAATCATATCTACAAGTGTTGCTGTTCCTTTACTTCTTTTCTCAATCTCTCGCTTTCCTTTGTATCCTCCCTGTCAAAGGATATGTGGGGGAGTCAAGCTAAAGCTGGCGGACGGACTTCTATGTTCAGTCGGGATTCAAAAAAGTCTGCCAAAGCACGGGAAACATAACGGGGTCCCCTTTTTCGGCGCTTCGAGCCACTGACGGGTCTCCCCCCCGCGCAAAGCGAGTCACAAGTTCGTCCCGAGACGAGGACAAGCGAGCGAGTCCCACTTCATGGTCTCGCTGAAAGACCTAAGGCCTTTTCAAAAGCTGAAAGAGAAAGAAAAAGAACAGACCCGAGAGGCCATTGCTATTAGGTACTGATTTGGTGTTATGAATCAGAACAATTCCAGAGGTTCTCGGAGCCTCAGCCAAGCATGGCTTCACTCTCGTGAGCCTTTCGGCCCAGAGGCCAGCAGCAGCTTGCGAGAGACGGATGCTCTGCCGCCCTGGCAGCCTGAAATGACTGAAAATAGGCCGCGAGTGGAGGTGAGGTAGCTAGTAGCAAAGGGCAGCTAGTAGCAAGTAAGCTACTACCGACAGGACGCAGGATAGCTCACGCGAATGATTTGATTCCTAGATTTTTTAGGGAAACTTAACTACTAGCGAGTTTTCTTTTCAAAACAAAACTCACATGGTACTGCTTGCAAATTGAAAGCCCAACATGTAGTCAGTCGCAGCCGCCTTGTCAAACTGTGGTAACACTAGTATCATATCGTATTCGAGTTTCATCAACCTGTCTTGCACCTTTCAACTTTTCTATCTGCCGGCGGCCAGGGGGAATAACGTGGTTGTCAGCTGCTTCGGATTATTAGCCAAATTAAATGACCTTTGGATACCCCACAGGGTTCCTGGAGGGCGCAACAAGCAGGAAAAGCAAACAAGAGGCAGAAACCAAAACAATGATGGCCTGAACAAAGAGCGAAAAAGGAAGCAATAGAAGAAGCTAAGCAACACAATAGAATGACAAGAGTGTGTGTGTGTGTATATATGTATATTATATATCCGTGTGTGTGTATGAATAAATGGAAAACCTTCCCCAAAAGACGTCCCTCCAAAATGGAACACGGTTTACACACGAAGTCAGGCCCTCCCTTATTTTCAATGTATGTTTCATCCTGGCTCGGGCTTGTTCTGTATTTCTCCACGGCAATTTGAGCGTGACGGTCCAGCCTGCAATTGGGAAGCCCATTGGTACAAAGCAATGCTCGGCAGTAGGATGAGCATTGACAGCCAAATGAGCCAAGAGAAATCTTTCTTGGGAAGCAATGGCCAGTCGACATAAGCAAAAAGAACAGTGGACACCTCAGTCAACGCCACCAGCATGCCAGCTCTTGTACAACAATGCTAACACGAAAGAAAACACTCAAACAAAAATCTGCCAAGTGGCAGGGAAAATTGCTTTCAAAGCAATGAATGTGGCCAAAGCCCCTGTGTGCTTCACGGAAAGCAGAATTCCCATGTTCCACAAGAGATTGAAGACAACGTAGGTCAAGACGCATCGGCCGGCCAGCTCCCCATGAACTGAGTCCGGCCCGCAAGCATCCGGGGTTCCGCTGAACACACAGGCGATGGCATCCTGCGAAAATGGCTTTAACAAGTCAAGCGATTTCAAAGAACATGAGTCTAAACATGAAATTCTGAAAGAGGGGTTGTTAAAGCTCATACAATTCAATACAATCGTCTTGCCCCTACCTCTGCATCACGCCCTTTTTATATAGGCTTACAAACTTGCAATACAAAAGCTTTACGCCTCCAAAAAGAGGTTTGGCGTGGATCAAGAAATTGTTCGAAAACACTTCTGTCCTGCAGGTAGCTGAATATGTTTCCATCGTTGGTTTGCTTCAGCATGTCATTTAATGGAATGAGCATCAACGTCAATGGCAACCTTGGTTTTCGAAGACCATTTGCAAGTGGGCGAGCATAGGCAAGCATAGGCAAGCATAGGCAAGCATAGGCAAGCATGGCCATGTGCTTGTTTTTCTTCAGCTGGACAGCCTCACACTACAGCTCATGCAGCTCGGGCGGCTGAAATATTGCCTCGTGCGAGTTGATCATGAAGATATTCAATCCGGGAGTGCCATGAAGCTCTTCAGAAGCTCGCTGCTTCTGACACAGCTTCGCAAAAAGTCAGCCGTGCCACAGTGGTCATGTCTATGTAAGACTTCAAGAACTCCCACAGGAATACGAATGTGTATTGGAACTCTCAATGCGTTGGGCCTTGTAGCGAGTAAAGATCAATTCTTTCACAACAAAGGCCACCTGATGGCTAGGGTCAGGCGGACAAACAAGCAGTTTTGAAACGAGAGTTTTCAAAAAAACAAACAGACAAGGAACAAGAAGCTACTAGTAACAAAGGGCATCGCTACTAGGAGGCTACCAGTAGCTCCTGTTCATACTACTAGGAGCAAGAAGCTACTAAGTCATCTGAAAGCCTTTACAGGTGTTTTTCAGTCTCTAGGCTCCAAAGGGAGTTTCTTCCCTTTGACGCCCTTTTTCCTTTCCGACTTCCGACTTCCTCCCTTCAGCCAAGCTACCGCATTGAAAATGCAGCTACCTGGAGCGAACTCATGAAGACCCATCCTACGCATTCTTTCTTTGTTTCGCTATTAGGAGCAAGGACGCTACTAGGAGCAAAGGGCATCGCTACTAGGAGCAATGTTCGCTACTAGGGGCTCCTTGCCTTACTACTAGGAGCCAGAAGCCACTAGTAACAAGGACGCCATTAGGTTGGAGGCCATTGCTATAAGGTTGGAGGCCATCGCTTTTCTACAAAGCTCTGTGCTGAGGTAGTTGCCACCAAGCACCACGGCAAAGAAAAAGTTCGAACCGGAGGAGTCAGACTGAAATGAAGGAAGAATTCCAATCACCTGGTGTCCAGGCTTGGTCATGTCTTGGAAAAGTTGAAGAAAACGGATGTAACAAGAAGCTACTAGGAACAAGTGCATCGCTACTAGTAACAAGTGCCTTACTAGTAGTAACAAGAAGCTAGTAGAAACAAGTGCTTTTTGGGAAGAGGGGGTAGGCCGCGCTAAGCAAGTAAAAGGTAGGTAGCTACTAAGCTATTAAGTAGGCCGCCACTAGCTACTGGAGGCAGGAAAGCTCACGCTCGCACTATTCAATTTTTGCGCCGTTGTCTTTCTCCTTTTAATGGCCTCCAACCTGCTAGCGATGGCCTCCAACTTACTGGCGTTGTGCAAACTGTGGGCAAGAAATAAATTACACCACCGTAGACCCCAAACAGTTTGTGTTTTTCAACATCGAAACTAGAGCTTGCGACGTCCAGAGCTGGGAGACAAAGGATTGCAAGGCAGAGGCGGCCACAGCAGCCCAGAGCTGGGAGACAAGTGTAAAGGATTGCAAGGCAAAGACGGACACAGCAGTACAGAGCGGGCGGACACATCTTAAGAAAGAATTGAGAAGCCCTGACAGTAAACCTTTTGGGGAATTATTCTTCAAGTGCGAACATGATGCTGGTCATGCTGCTCAATCAGCAAGGAGCTGACCACGTGAGGACAAGAAATAAAAGCATGAGGAGCGAAGGACGTGACATGAAATTGATGTTTGGTGCCTGACGCATGCCCTGAGACTGTCACAAAATCCAATCCGGTCATTCATGGAACGCTTGCCCGAAAAGAAAAACAAAGCTGAGAGAGTTACACAGTGTGGCAGGAATGCACTCCCGGAGACAGTCACGCGGCAGAAAACAGCAGTGCAGCCACCAAACCTGAAAGACAAAAAGACAGAAGTCGCATGGGAGACAAATGAATAGAAATGCTACATGGCCAACGGAAAAGGGCGGACACCAGCAGTAACGGACCTGGGAAACAAATGAATAGAAATGTTTCATGGCCCACGGACAAGGGCGGACACCACCAGTGACAGACCTGAAAGACAAATGAATAGAAAGGCTACATGGCACCAGCAGTGGCGGACCTGGGAGACAAATGAATAGAAATGCTTCATGGCCAATAGACAAGGACACACCAGTCCAAAGTCTTTTCTACAGTGAGGACCCATCCTGGAGGGATGAGGATTGCCACACCAGCCTGCGGATTTGGGTCGTGCTTTGCAAGAGAAGCAGCAGACCTGGGAGACAAATGAATAGAAATGCTAGTGGAAATGGGCGGACACCAGCAGTGACACAAAGGGCGGACACATCTTAAGAAAGAATTGAGAACCCCTAACAGTAAACTGCTTGGGGAAAAAGTGGGAGACACATGAAAGGAAGTGGGAGACAAGCCGGCCGGAAACCCGACTACAAGCACCCAGCCTGGGAGACAAATGAAAAGAAGTGGGAGACAAGTGAAAAGAAGTGGGAGACAAACGAAAGGAAGTGGGAGACAAGCCAGCCGGGAACCGGACCAGAAGCGCCCAGCCTGAAAAGAAGTGGGAGACAAATGAAAGGAAGTGGGAGACAAGCCGGCCGGGAACCCGACCACAAGCACCGAGCCTGGGAGACAAATGAAAGGAAGTGGGAGACAAGCCAGCCGGGAACCCGACCACAAGCACCCAGCCTGGGAGACAAGTGAAAAGAAGTGGGAGACAAATGAAGGAAGTGGGAGACAAGCCGGCCGGGAACCCGACCACAAGCACCCAGCCTGGGAGACAATGAAAAGAAGTGGGAGACAAATGAAAGGAAGTGGGAGACAAGCCAGCCGGGAACCCGACCACAACCCACGAC